TGTCATTTATTTAGGAAACTGTTTTCTTATCGTGAACGATTAGATGTGTTCTTCAGATAAGGATTACATTATTTTAACTTTGTATTTATACAATGAAAATATATAACTGTATATAATTATACGAAAAGAATAATTGATTATACAAATGAACAATATTTCAGATTTAGAAATAAACTAAAATATTTAAGCCTATGTTGGTGTTCTACTTAACACGATAAAAATAACTATCAAAATTAATTTAAAAGTCCTTTATAAATTTATCAAAAGTCCTATTCTTTTTTAAATACGCAATAAAAGATCAGTACATAAAACCTCAAATATTTCTAATAATTATAATGAATAACGTATAGATAATATATTCCAGACAGCGCACACAATATTTAGAAAATATTATTAAAATATTTGTAAGATTTTGTAAATATTTTTGTGGTCTTAAATTAAACAGATAAATATTTATTATAAATATTATCGTAAATACGTGCTATGAAATTATTTACTAATAAGACATTATATAATCTAAAAAATATTTACTAGAGAAACATAGTTTTATATTTACCAGAAATATTATATATAAAATAATTATATAATATTATACAAACATAAATAATAAAAAATATTTATGAATATTTATCATAAATATTCTGCTCTGTCAGGGACAAAAAATGTTCGATAAACATACTCATTGTTTAACAAACTATAATGCGTAGAAAAACAATGTTGCAAACAAAAAAATATCAAAGTGTTTGAAGTATTGCTTGTAAGATTTATTTATTTTGGCAAACACACGAGATAAAAAATAACCATAATTGTATGTATAACTGGTTTTCTGTGTAAACATATCTTTCATTCTCTTTATTTATTTGTATACATAAGGCCAAAATATTTTTATAGCGTATAATATTTAAATTTCTCAAATGTGTACATTACTCTTTTACAAATGTAACGCACTTAAAATTAATTGTAAAATTATAATACTATATCAATCTAATTAAATTGAATATATAATGCGTCTCTCTAAGGACTTCATTATACTTAAGTACTAAAATAACGTAATCCGCGCGAGAGTGCGTATTATAACTGTAAGTATTCAGTAAACACCAAGTAAAAGTACATCTATGTGTGTAAAAAATGACTATAATATCTATAACTGGTTTACTATGTGTAAAAATAACACACTACAGACGAAACCTTCACAATATATTAACCTCCGTTTTCGTTTTAACCTTCGTAAAAGTCACGTTTTAACATTCTAAATCTAAATAGTAATCGAGCACATATGCTAGCGCATGCGCATTTGTTTACTTTTACGAAGGTCAGTCGGTCCCTTCAAATTACTTTTATGAAAGTTCGACATACTGTACACAAAAATGGATTTACACATTAAAAAATGCATTTAAATGTATTGATATTAAAATTTCACTCTTAATAATGTAACACATGTGTATTATATTTACATTATGTTAAAATTATATAGCAGTGATGAATATTACATTATTGTTAATTGATGTTTACTTAGTATACATGTAATAAAGCTCAAAGTTCATGCCGCGTTGACACACCTAGTAACTATATTAGTCAGCTAAGTGATAAATATTTATTATACGTACACCGGTATACGTGTAATATTGTTACTATATATGTATCTTTTTTAAAGTGTAAAGTTTGTTTACAGATAGGATCTTTGATAGCGCGCTTAAATCTTTAGTGTGCGTGATAAAAACAGAACATAGTCTTCTCCCATTCCTTCTCGTTTTTTTTTCATTTTACAAAGAATAAGAGAAACTGTAAAAAATATAAAGAAAATACAAAAATTAAAAAAACATTTAGATGGTAGATAATATATAATTTTATATGCAAATAAGTATAATCTCGTATATTATTGCTTGTAATAGCAGGTGTATCAACACGGTAATTTATGTAACAATCATAATATATTACATGTTACGCGGTAGTAGAAGAGAAAATCAAATTATATATGATAAAGTGGTAGACCTAGATTTTAACCTTCTAGCGAAAGTTAAATATAAATTTTGTTTATTTTTGACGAAGATATTATCTCATACATATTATGTATTTAAAATATTTATATAACGTTTCAAAAAATACGAATTGTAATAAATATTGTATTTACCATAAATATTCTGTGCTGTATTAAATATGTCTTTTGTATAAAAA